CCCCCTGTCATCTTTTTCTTTTGATGTGATTGACTTGTTGGAGACCCTGGGTCAAGACTTGTAGAATTTCCCATACCTCAGATTCAGCTGACTGCTTTACTTGTTCCTGTATCACTTGTTCTTACGAAGTGGATTTAACTTTATAGACTTGATTAGATTCAGCTTCCATGTGTGGGGTTTTGTTTTGTTTTGTAAGAATAGTTTATAGATGGTCAAAAATAATTCCTTCTCTATCAGATGGCCCTTAGTGTCTGGCTATCCTACTTCAGTGATGCTAAGATTGATCAGTGGATTCACATGGTAACAAATTAATCCATTCACTATAAAATTCTTTATCATCCTTTTATCTCATGGTTTCATCAAGTGACATTTTCTCCCCTCAGTCAAATATTTCTCCAGGAGTTGCAAAATGATGCTTTTTCTAATTCTGTCATCATTCCACATTTATCAGCTAAAATTCATACAACTGGAGCCATTTCGTTACTCTAAAATACAGTTTAAACAGGCAGGCTAAGTTCTCCTTTCAGGTTCAGTAATACGTTTTGCATCAGTTTTTAAAAAATAATTCTCTTACTTTGTTGGTGCTGCTATCCCAAAATACCACAGATGGTAATTCACAAAGAACAGAATTTTCTTTTCTCACACTTCTGGAGGCTGGTAAGTTCAAGCCATGAAATCCAAGGTCCAGGTCCCAGCAGGTTGTCTGGTGAAGGCCGCTGTCTGTTTCCCAGATGATGTCTTTTGCTGCATCCTCTGGAGGGAAGGAACACCGTGTCCTTACATAGTGAAAGGCAAACAAGCTGAATGCTTGGTGAAATCTGTTTTAGAAGGTCTTTAATCCCATTCATGGGGAGGAGCCCTCATGACCTAATCAGCGCTTAAAAGCTCTACCTCAAAACACTGACCACACTGGCCATTAGTTTCACCACCAGAATTTTGGAGGGAATACATTCAAACCAAAGCAATAGCCCTGAATAACAAAGGCCTTTTCCTGCCCTGGAAACGCCAAAGCTGCTGTCTGTAATGGAATAATGTGATTGGTAATTGTGTCACGTAGAACCAATAGAGATCAGCAACCTCAGCCAGACTAGTAGACATCCTGGCATCAGATGCTTCTTCACCATGTCCTTTTGACTTCAGACACCCAGTTCCCCGACTTTCCGCCTCCTTGTAAAATACAACAGTAAGATATTGGTGCTTATGGGTCTGAGTTGAAGCTGGTGTGTACATTTCCTTCTTCTCTGCTTGCTGAAACTCATTTCTTCTTATGCACTTATTCACCATAGAAACACCAAAAACAATTTCTTCCACTGTAGGCCAAGCATTCTGGATCATGTGATTGCTAGCATTGTGCTTATGATAGGAAAATGTATAACACCCAAACAAGTAGACTGCCTTGTTGAATGATTCTGTTATTATATATTTTGCTCATATGTTTTTGTGGAGGCCTTTATGTTTCTGAATCCCGGAGTCAGCTCTGACTCCTCTGTACCCCCATTGGATCTCCAGATTCTGTGGAATCAGCTGTATAACCTTTCTTGTTTGTATGACCAAAGTCCTTCTTTTCTGTTCATGTTGCCACCATCCGACTTCAAGCCTTTTTACCCCTAGAGTTTGTTTTCCAATTTTCTTTGTTTTCTATTCTGATGAAATAGCCTCAGCCCCCTTTGGTAGCACCTCACTGCTGGCAAGAGTAGGTCCACAGTTCCAGCTTTGCTTGTATGCTTCCACACAGCCTGGCTGCAGGGGCACCTCCCTTCCCTCCTTTCTCCTCTGCCGGCCACAGCAGCGTGCTCATGGCACCTTTGCATTCAGCCTTCCATACCACAATGCTGAGCAAGCCATCCATCCTTCCCTTGTCCCAGGATCCCGTCGTCATCTCCAGTCTAAACTCGCTCAGGCTCCACCACTCCTTGATCACTGTGGTCCTGGCTGCTCCCAGAGCACACATTGTCTGTGCTTTGGTCAGGTGGGCCTCACACCCTTTTCTGTGTCATGATTTCATTTGCCTCAACTGCAAACTCCATGCTAATCAAGGGCAGGGACACACGTTGGACATCTCCAGATTCCGTCCAGTGCTGGGCCCAGAGCCTGGCATCTTGTCGGTACACCTTCCCTTACCTTCCCACTCAGGCTCCCGTGTTCGTCCTCACAGTCCTCGGACACACCTGATTCTTCTTCACTTTGGACTCTGACCCTGGTCTTTATTTTTGATAGTCCTATCAAAAAGACGACTGTCTTTCTGTCCTTTCAAGAAGACTACTACCTCCAGGCCCTTTTCTCTCCTCATCACTGCTCTACACGATAAAGTAGATGGAAGGCCACACTCTTGGTGGAGAACATCTCCCAGCAGAAGTGAGCTTGACCAGTTGTCCTTGGAATTATCCTCCAGCAAGCGATCATGATTTTTATTCTGTGTGTCAGCTGGGAGGCCTCCAGAAACAAACCCCACAGTCAGCAACCCAACAGAGCTCTGAGACTGCCCTGTAAATATTGATCTGGAAGTCTCCCACTTACAGATGCTTCCTGATGCTTTCCTTAATAAGCCTTACTTCGTGTTGAAACATCTGAGTGACCAGGGCAGGCACCAATCATGGCGTGATGATGCGCCACTTTCTCTGCCATCGTAGAACTGTGGATTCATTTTCCTTCTGCAACTGGCATGACAGACATCCACTTAGTGGAGTGATTATTAGTGTAAAATTACTTTTTGCCCTTTAATTTTAATTATGCCACATTCATAGCAATAATATAACATCCCAAATCCAGGTGTGCTTTTCAAGGAAAGTGCCCAGAGCAGTTACCCTCTGATTATGGCGTCCTGCACGTAAGTCTTTCATCTAGGGCTGTTAAAGTCATTTCTACAGAAATAGATAATGGTGTCCATTTTGCAAGGGGTGAGAGGTGAAGTGATTGACCCCTTGGCATACTTGAGATGAAGACAAGTCCAGGACCCAGGTGTCTCCTTTGTTCTTCCTCCTCCGGCTCCTTTTCCAACTTCTTAAAAGAGGTATGGCCGAACTTCTACTGGTTTAAATACTTCCCTTCCAGGCCCTGGCCTCTACTTTTTTAAGAGCATGAATGAAAACAAAATGTTTCTATATCACATTTCAGTGGGGGGAAGAGTTAAGATTGAGGGAGAGGGAATGGATTGCAGATACGTACACACTTGTCGGAGAACATACCTGTCTGCCCTGGTAACTCTGCCTCATCACTATTACATAAAAGAGCTTAGATGTGGGTTCTGCAGGCTCAAGGATGAGAAGCAGTTGGAACAGTGCCTGGCACATGGCAAGCCCTGCCTAAGTGATGGATTCTAGGATCTTCTCACTGGTACCTGTGGGCAGGCCCCTCCATCCCCAGAGAAGCAGCATTTAGAGTGGGCCGTTGCTCATGCCCGATGACAGTTTGGATGCAGTTCCCTTCTCCTACCCAGCCAAGCCTTCCCCAGTCCAGCTGTCAGTCAGCTACGACACCTATATCATTTTCTCAGTTCAGTTCAACAAACTTGAACTGAACTTCTAGCTTGTACTAAGTTATGTCTTATTTGGGCACTAAATCATGCTCCATTGTATAATACTGTTCTAACTCCTGTAGGAATGTTTGTTTGTGTCTAATGGGATGATCCAGACTTAAGGAAAAAGCTGTCTTCTTTTTCTTTGCCTTTTTTTTTGAGACAGGGTCTTACTCTATCACTCAAGGTGGAGTGCAGTGCTGTGAAACTGCAGCCTCAACCTCCCGGGCTCAGCAGTCCTCCCACCTCAGCGCCCTGGGTAGCTGGGACTACAGGCATGCCTTACTATGCCTGGCTAATTTTTCTGTTTTTTGTAGAGACAGGGTTTTGCCATGTTTTCCAGGCTGGTCTCAAACTCCTGAGCTCAAGCAGGCCACCTGCCTCATCCTCCAAAGTTCTGGGATTACAGGCATGAGCTGTTACACTTGGCCTGAAGAGCTCATTTAAACTGTGGTTTTGTGTGTGTTGTGTGTTTGTGTATATATGTATGTGTGTGTGTGTGGGTATATATGTATGTGGGGGGGTATGTATGTATGTCTATGTATGCATGTGTGTGTGTGTGTATGGGAGGATATATATGTATGTGTGGGGGGGTATATATGTATATGTGTGTGTATAGGCATTTCCCCCAGAGACAATTCTGCATATGCAGCAGGAGCTCAATATTCTCTAAGAGTAAAGGGTACAAAGTATTGAGGCCAGAAGAGGCCAAACTGCACATACTTGGTTAAATCCAATATGGTAAGTTCCTGTTGCATTGAAGTAGTGAAGCTCTTCACAGAGTGAACGAGCCGTAGTCAGGGCGTGCAAGTCCTCTTTCTTCGGTCCGCCGTAACACCATATTCTATTCTGTTGTATGTGAAAGGAGTCCAGTGTGGACTGAGCTCCTCCTACATGTCAGACGCCGTGGAGAACACAGATGGACGCCTGAATAAAAAGCATTCTAATCCAGTAGATGATAAATACATACACAAGTGCTTATAAGAAAGGCGTACCATGACGAACTCTACAGCTGAGATTCGGTCAAAGTGCTTTGCAGTTGAAAGGGGAATGTGGTAGTATTTAGTTGGGGATCATGAAAACTATTTATTCAGCAATTACATACTGAGAGGCAGTCGTGAGCTCCAGGGCCGTCCTGGTGCTAACGCTTCATGGAAGAGCTTGGAGGATAAAGTCAGCACTGCTCTCCCCGCCGCTCCCCTCCCAAATATCAACGCGGAGCTCCAAACTTTTGTTTTTCTTCTCGTGTTTATGAGAGAGACCTTCTATTCCTGTCATTTTTTCCCCTAACACAAAAAGCATTCTGAGGAGCTGAAGACCGATGATTCCCCTCAGTACTGCATTCTCCTGGATTGCAAAGCTAATTCCCTTTCAGTAACTCATTAACATTCACAGCTGGCGTTTGCTCCCACTCCATAGTCTCCTGATGAAGCACTAACTGCAAAGGTGAGAGCTGCTGACGCTGTTTGCCTTTGTTTTCTTCCAGGATTTTTTTCCCAGGCAGCCATCCCGTCAGAGGTGTTCAAGTAATGAAAGTTGGCAAACTGCAGTTACATCAAGGCATGTTTCCCCAAGCGATGAAGAATCTGAGACTGGTGAGTGTGCCAAGATCACGTGTAGTTCTGCCTGGTATCCTTTTTTTCCTGGCGGTTGCTGGGCCCTTTTGTGATTTTTTAGCAACTCTACATATGTGTGCATGCATACACACGTATGCCGAATGTGTGCTGGTAAATGTTTAACAACCACTCTCGAAAAAACCTGCTTTGTGACATTTGCCTATTTCTGTGATGCAAACATGCCCACCATGACTGATTTTCAATGTAAAATCAACCTTCTTGTAAAATTAATAGTAACAATCACTCTTGCAGCCTGATGCAAGACCAGCCTAAGAGCACCACTGCCCCTGTGCCTGCTCCACATTGAACACGGCCTTGTTTGTGCCTCCGTCCCATTGCCCACGGAGCATAGCCCGTATTCCCTGCATGGCAAGCACTTGACCATCTGCGTGGCAGTTCCCTTTGCAGCCTCTTCTCCCCTCCCTTCCTCTCTCCCTCCCCACGACCCGGGGATCACTGCTGCTCGCCAGCCAGTACGCACTGTGACCCTGAACTTCTCCTTCCTCAGTCTTCACAGAGCTCTTTCCTTTCCCTTCCGTGCTCACCCCACCACAAGCCCCTGGGCTTGGCAGAACTGTACTGATCCTTTAAGGCCCAACTCCAGGGTTGTTTTTTCCTCCCACCCCTACAGCTCATTGCCCACCCTGCCAGCAGAGCACGTGTCACATTGCAGTAGGCATACCTAATGACCACCCCCACCCCTGCCTCAGCAAAGGGTGAGGTCTTCCTGGTTCTCTTTGTAGCCAGCTCAGTGCCGTGCAAAGGATCTGGAACTTAGGAAGTATTCATATTGTGGGAAGGCGGAGGGAGGAAGGGAAGGAGGTCAGTTAATATGGTTCTGGCCATAAGTGTCAAGAAACTAAACGGGAGGAGAATGGTTCAGGGATGGAACGCCTTGTTGAACATGACGCTTAGTTCCACGCTCTTTGGGAGTCTCTGCCCAGAGGAACCCAGAGCTGTCTGGCCTTCCCACCTCAGCAGAGAGCTTCCCCTCCTCTAGTCGTGGCCCTTCCAAAGGAGAGCTCGCATGCTTACCTGGCCCAGGCCCTGGTGGGTCATATGGAGACCTGGCGTGTGGGGTTTTGTAGGAAGCACTTGACACTTTGACAGTCTCCTCTGGGCCACCATGCTCTGTGTGCGGGAGGGTCACAGTGGAAGGATGGGTCCGCTTCGGGGTTGCTGAGGGCATGTCTGGGGGCCTGCCGATCCCATGCTATTGACAGCCACCCACATGAACCTAAGAGAAATAGCAAATGCCTAAGGGATTCTTAAAAATAAGAGTCCCTAGAGCTCATTTTCGCTGCATGCTAGCCATACTGCCTTGACTTGATCTCTAAATAAAGTCAGCATATGGCCAATAAGAGTAACACTAGGACTTCCTGAAGGCACTCAGCTATTCCTCTTCTTTTTATCGTGTCTGACATGTTTACCCAGACTTATGGAAGAACACCTCCGTCTCTTGCAGTCTCAGGAAGAACGTTCCTTTTCTGATCTTGCTGGTACTTGTCAGCCCGTCAAATCAGCTAGGTACAGAAAATACTTATTAAGGGTCTGTGTGTGAAAATCTTGACAGACAGATGATGCAGAGGAAATTTCTTAATGTACAATACGCCCAGCACGGGGCTACCTGCAAGGAGAGTCCATCAGTGGGCAGACTCGACCTTGTGTTTACATGGGACTAGAAACTCTGAGTACTGCTCATGCGTACGCGATCATATTTAGTCCTCGTGACAGATGACAGTGGTATGAGGTCAGTGGGGGCGGCATTTTCTTTCCTATTTGAAAAATGAAGGCGCTTAGGTTTGGAGACATGCAAGAGCTCACCTAAAGTCACACGGAGGCAGAGCCAGGTGTGTTTGTTCAATTCAATTCAACACGGTGATTAAATGCTTCTGTTATTTTGAATAAGACTCAGGCTGGGCACAGTGGCTCATGCCCGTAATCCCAGCACTTTGGGAGGCCAAGGCAGGTGGATCACCTAAGGTCAGGAGCTCAAGACTAGTCTGGCCAACATGGTGAAACCCCATCTCTACAAAAATACAGAAATTAGCCAAGCATGATAACAGGTGCCTGAAATCCCAGCTACTCAGGAGGCTAAGGCAGGAGAATCGCTTGAACCCAGGAGGCAGAGGTTATAGTGAGCCGAGATTGCACCATTGCACTCCAGAAAAAAAAAAAAAAGATTCAGTATGGTCCGTACAATTTAATGGAGGAGAGGGACATGTGAATAAGTCATTAAGTCCAGGCTGGAATCCAAGACTCTGCTATTTTCCTCTAGACTGATCCGGTTAAGCAGGTGAGGCTCTCCAGCAGATCAGTGTATAGAAATCCCTTGTGATCTACCCAGACCCCTGATGCCAACTTGGGGAAAGATATGGGAGAGAGATTTAGATTGCTGCTTTTCTTTATGTGAAGCTTTAGTCATTGCCATTGCCTGCAGAACCCCTGAAGGAGACATCTAGTAGCCTCAGCTATAAGGACAAGCCCGAACAAACCCAGACAGACACCACCTTTCTCTGGGTTTTCAGGATAGTGTGTCCCATGCTGATGGTACTGACCATCACCAGCCCTTCTGATGACCCTCTTATTGCCCTTTTACATCCCTCATGCCCTTCTTACGAAGTTGCATCACCTGTTTGAGAAGCTTCTCTGGGTAATCATGTTAGCATTTCCTGTTCTTGGTACCAAGGTGAAGCTCAAGCATGGACCTTGATAGATGCCAAATGAAAGGTATTCTGGGAATCACATCAGATTATCTGTCATGAGGCCTGGGGTTAAATTGGGGTCTTACCCAAACTTCCTGTTTATCTCTGCATAAGTCATTGAGTCTCTTGCCAATGTCTGATTATCAACCAAGGAGCAAACATGTACTCCGGGCAGAGGCACAGAAAGAGTACTGGGATCCAGAGTCAGTAGGTTCAGTTTCCAGTCCCACCATTTACGTGTGTGTGTGTGTGTGTGTGTGTGTGTGTGTGTGTGTGTGTGTGTGTGTTTTGAGATGGAGTCTTGCTCTGTCACCAGGCTAGAGTACAGTGGCACAATCTCAGCTCGCTGCAACCTCTGCCTCCTGGGTTCAAGCGATTCTCCTGCCTCAGCCTGCTGAGTACCTGGGACTATAGGTGTGCACCACCACACCCAGCTAATTTTTGTATTTTTAATAGAGACGGAGTTTCACCATGTTGGCCAGGGTGGTCTCAATCTCCTGACCTCTCTCTGAATATAATTTTATTTGTAAAAGGAGGCTGATGTCTATCCCACAGAGTTGTTTTGAGGAGAAAATGAGGCAACGTGTGAGTGTGCTTGCTGATCACAGGCATTTTGAAGCTATGAAAGATTGTTGCTATAGGAACTCTTGTTCTGAGCACCCTCCCTCTAACTGGTCTGTTGAGTACTTGTGTTTGTAGTTTGGGGTCACACAGTGGTTCCTCTGTTGAACAATTATGTTACATGACTGCTCCCAGCAGTGCTCTGCTTCCCAAATGTGAGTGGGAATTCCTCAAGGGACCTGACATTCCTTTTATATTTTCTGGTGCCACCTAACACAGACACCCATGCCTCCCACACAGCAAGCTCTGTTAAACACATTCTTGAATGGGTGGATTTGTTTTACTGGATACTCTAAAAGCCTCACCCTGGCCCTGTTGTTTAGCTGTTTACGGTTAAGGGACCAGATCTTCTCATGACCTTTGCTGAGTATTTGCTAGCAGAGGGATGGCCGGAATGTATCCATCCCTAGGAAAACTCACATGACCTGTGAGTCCATAAGCAGGTAAGTATCTTCCTGCAGAAACTCTTTCTTTCCCGGGTTTTCTTAGGACTTGGGTAACCTGGAGAGGGAAGAGGGAGGCTGCACTCTTTGCCATGTAAAACTGATGTTCTCTTCAGACAGGCACCCCGGATGCTCTTTTTCGTCTTAGAAACCCTGAAAATAATGGAATGAAATCACTTGAATAAGGGTTTTGAAGACTGAGTTTGAATAGAAATCAGAGGAGCTTCAGAAACAGAAATTTGTTAAGATTCATTTAGGCTCCAGCTGCCTCCGGGAAGGGCATCCACTTAGCCAGCTCTGATTTGGTTTAGCCTCCCGCTTCTGCGGGGCTCCGCTGGAAATTCCTGTGATTGCTGCCACAGGACGGTCCTGGGTCCCTTCACAGTGCCTCCTCCTGCTTTCTCCTGTCTCTAATCTACTTTTATTTCTTTCCATTTATTTCTTGGAAGGATTTTGTTTGCTACAATATGACTTCTTGGGCCTCAGTGACAACCCATCTGGGCTGTCTTGTCAGTGAGAGCTGGTTTTTCCCGTGAACCCTGACTGCTGCCTGCTCCCTCACCCTGGCCCTACTGTAGCTGCTTTGTTAGCAAAAGTCTGGTTGTAAAACTTAGACTTCTTTCCCCTTGGTATCCATTTTTTTAAGAATCTGTATGTAGACTTTTTATTATAATTTTTCCCTTCTCATTTAATTTTATTGGAGTATTCTATATCTTGAGCATCTTATTAGTTTTTCTGCATCTGAACAGAGTGCAAGGCCGCAAGTCCTAGACATTGCTCCTTCTGCTACTGCCTCCACTATCCTGATTTCCAGCCCCCAGCAATGGCTGATTTACAGCATGCAGCTTTGTTGTTCCCATTTCTTAATCTGCTCTGGTGATTCTTAACCTCTTTCGTCGTGTCCTTATTTAGGAATATGATAAGGGCCACTGACTAACCAGAGAAATGCTGCATACACCTATATAGCAACTCCCTGAAGCCTTTTCATGGACTAAATCTCCATGATGTCTAGGTTAAAAAGCCCTCCTCTAAACAGTTAATATCCTACTTTACCATATGGGGAGGTGGGAGGGAAGAAGGGAGAAGGCGGCGTGCGGAGACCATGTTCCCTAATTGCCACTAATACCTTCACAGAGCTGTTTGGAAGTCCCTGGCTCTAATACTTACGAATGGTTCCTGCTGACCTCCAAATATAGAATAACAGTTCCAA